TCCTCCTGCACCATGCTACATAATGCAAAAATGAGCATAAAAAACCCTGACACTGATCTCAGAGAAAATTCATTCCTAATCCCAAATCTTGGGGTCAGTATGACCTCAATATATGAACAAGTAAATTATCTGACAGAATATTCTGTCACACTGGTCCACTCTACCCTATTGTCATATTTCTAGCCACAGCCAATCTCCGAGGCCAGATTAGAAAGTAATTAGATTTTTAAACAAAAATTTAAGATAAGCTTCCCCACTACATAAAACTGCTCTCCATCCATTTTACTTCATGACTATTAAAAGCAAGGGGCAGTGGCTCAGGTTTTATGGAACACTAAAGAGCCTAGTCTGTTGCATAGTGGTTACAGCAGTATAACTGGACAATAAGAAAGGTGGAGGATCAAACCTTGTCTGGGCAAATGGGGTCTAGAACACATGTCTCTAGCTTCTTGAGTACATGCCCCCACCACTTAGCTATGAGGGCTAAAACATGAGAAAACCCCCTGTGCTTGTCCCAGGACTTATGAATGTATTATTTTACATGTGGCCAGTATAACCTACTGCAACTCTGTCTAGAACTACACACATTCACTGCAAAAGAAAACACAACTATGAACTGCATGTGAAAAACATTATTTATGTAGCTGGAAAACTGCCATTTAGATGCCTAAACGGAAGTAGAACTCCACCATTAACAATAAAGTAGCAACTGATTTAAGTTTATTTTAACACTCAAGAAAGTCTACAAACTTTGTACCTGGAATGATTTGTTAGTATCTGTAGTATCATAGATTTCCATAGCTCCATAACCAAGTAAGACTACAGTCCATTCTGTTAGTGCAAACTGAAACTACATGTGATATAGTGCTGAAAAACTGTTCAACTTACCCATTATAATGCGTTTTTACTCTGATGAAATCTCTGTTCAGATTCATTTTTGATCCCATTCTGCTAGGCATGATACTGATATGTAGTTTAAATAAAAATATTTTGCCAGTGTTTGGAAGAATCTTCCAAATCATTCAAAAAAGATGACCGATTTTGTGCTAAATTCTAATGAGCAAGTAAAATTTCCAGCTGACAGCCTGTCCATCTGCACACAGAAAAGAAAAGCAGCATATAAATGCACATATACACACACAGAGAATTGTTAAAATACAACAGAAATTTACATGTGCAGAGCCAAATCCTGGAAACCCCAGTGGAAACCTTTAAACCAGTGGCTCCCAACCTCGGGGCACGATGTAAACCAGGGTCATGGGGGGGTCCGTGCCTTGCTCCACCCCTCCTGCCTGCAGGGCTCTCTCGGCACATGGTCCACACGGCTATCACCGTTGCTGCCCCCCACAATCCACTTGTGCACTGCCGGGCACAAGTGAGTTGGTGGCGAGAGTGGGGGCCACAACCTGAATTTAAGGTCGCAGCAAAAAAAAAAAACAAACAAACCTGGGAGCCACTGCTTTAAAGAATACACCTGAAGCAGTTGGACTATTTGCATCCATAGGGCCCTTTGTCCCACAGAGAAATGACTATGAAATAAGTTACTAGCAGTA